CCAGTGCAATCATATCTTCTGGTTGTATTGCAGGTATCCCACTTAGTGGATTTCCACACAATTCACTTGCTAAAATATAGATATTGAATGAACAAGCTCATATCTCTTGCTTTGAAAGCAGATTTTTGCATTGTGGTGATTGTATGTGCAAGGAGAACATTCTGCAGGTTCAAAAACCAGGATGTGAATGAAGGAATTTCAAACGTTATGTGAAGACGAATGAAACTCAATCCTAGGAGACAAGCTTGTTTTTTTTTTTCTTTTTTTTTTTTTTCTTCTTTCTTTTGATTCTTGACAGTTAGCAGTGTTGCACTTTGGCTAACTTATGATCTCCAAAATGAGGTAACCTTTCTGTAATTTTCAGGGTTATCTTTAACATGGGTAGATTCTGTCCACCTCTCTTTTCCTGTTGTTTTGAGGTTCTAAGGTGTATCTGCCTACAGTCAGGCTAAGATGAGAAATCCAAAACAGAAAACCCACACAGATTTCAGTTTGAGTTATTATTTATATGCACAGTGGATCCTGTCAAAGATGAACATAATTGTTTGAAATGAGATCTTCTCTGTAAAACAATAGGAAGATGGGAAACATAAAACATTAACTACTCAACACTGTTTCACATTTGGTTGTTGGTTCTGCAAGAACAGTTAAAGTGAAGGAATGCTGCACGTAACACTTGCTAACCCTCCTTCTTACTCTTCTTACTCTGGTTTGAACTTTGCTCTCTGGAAGTGTGGTACGTACAATTGTATATATGGTCCCTTGCTAATAGAACCCAATTTAATGCACAGTTAGAAGGACTCTTCATTACTCCTTGCTTTTGATTTTATGGCTTCTTAGATTTGTGACACCCGGTTTAATATTGAGTTGACTTTTATAATTCATGCCAGTAAAAATCTGTTAAAATGCAAAATTACCACAGGATCCTGAGACCTCAAATGGCCAGTATGAAAAGCTTCAGATGGACCAGGCATGTTGCTGAAGGGCACGGTGTATGTGTTTACTTTCCAGCTGATCACATAAATATTGTCAAAACTATGCTCTTAATTTGATTTGTGACATTCCATTAACAGTTACTCCGTGTACCAGAATAATAATAATAACTAATGATTCCCAGACTCCCAGAATTGTAAAATAAGGACAGGCTCTGTTTGGCAGAACAGATACCGTGCTTTAATATGGACAGGAACTGTTAATATTAATCAAATGAGGTATAGTCTAAAATGACTTCTGGCTAATGACTTGTTCTCGGGCTGACCGTGCTACTTGCAGGTAACACACTGTTCTAATTGTGATGATTACTAATAATTGCCTGCTAGATACATGGTTTTCTGTCTCTCAGAAAGAGAAATGATCTTCTTCATTGTCCTTACTTTAAGACGTTACTGTTGAAACTGTGATGTTAGGCTGTTAGATGTGGGATGGCAAAAGTTCATGGATTTGCCTTCTGATTTAAGCTTTTACAAGGATGGACGTGTGAGCAGTGAATGAGTTCAAAATGTGAATTTAATTGTGTGACAGCCAGAACTTAATTATTCAGAGCATCATTCTGTGATGAAGAGCTTCCTGAAGGCCACCAGTAGTAGGAGTTTATAAGTCACACTTATTTCACCTTGAATATGTGCTGTTACTGTGATGTTTTCACACAAATTTATTTAAGAGAAACAGAATTAAGATCCTCCCTATTTCTTAATTAATTCCACAAGTTACACTGAGGGATGGAGAAATAAGTTAAATTGGAAGATATGGCAAGATTGATTCTGTTTTCCCAGAGGAAATAACGTTTTTCTTGGGGTGCTAAAAGCTGTCTTGTGCTTCAGAAGCTGCTCTCATACTAAAAGGGAGGAAGAAGAGACTCCCAGAAGGGAATTCCTGTAATGCAGAAAGAATCCGGTCTTCTGGAACCAGCAGCTTGATGCATAGCTGTGTTAGGAAGGCCTGGTTTCTGTTGGGTTGAGTCTCCTCCTTTAACGTATAGGTAGGCTAAACAGTGAGCTTTAAGTTGTAGCACCAAGGTATGATGCACATATATGAGCAAGTTACCTCTTAGTTTTTTTTTTTTTTTTTTTTTTTTTTTTTTGCCATGAATGTAGTTTTCTACTCTCACTGTTCTTTCTGTAAGCAGTCCTTATATGCTGTTGCAGGGTGAGGTTTTGTTTTCTGAAAGAAGCTTTCTATTTTTTTTTCTTGTAGTTTTCTGAAAGAAGATTTTTGGCTGTCTTCAGTGGGGATAATATGTGGTTTGTGGTCTTATCTACATCTAATTAAATGTAAGGAAATAACGTTTTAAAAACTAATTCAGTGTTGACAGGACAAAGAGAAAGATGAAGGACATGAAGAGAGTCTGCCTTGAATACACACTGCTATCTACCTGGATAATTAAACATGATCATAACTTATTTATGATGATGATGCAAGCGTATATAGAGGCATTTATGTAAAATCCTATGGAAGTTATTAAAAGTTGGCCTTATTTAAGTCCATGAATAAGTTTTTTTTATTATTTCAGCACAAGGGTGCTACTCAAACTTGTACCAAAATGACCAGTATTGCAAATCAGAGGCAGTGTTATTTTTGGTACGTTTGCCTAGGCAGCATGTCTGGCCAGCTGCAGGCCTGATCCAGCATTCAGTGAAAGCTGACGAAAAAAGACATAGCTTCTGCTAATGCTTCCCGTGAGTATCTACAAAGTAGATAATTTATTCTTATGAGTGCATGTTATACATATATGCAATGTGTGTAACATTTATGTACACTCCAGCTTGGGCTGAAAATCTTGAGCTGAATTCTAATCATAATTTTGAGATAGGTTAAGATATGGGTAAGGTATTTTGTTGTTTCTGGAACATGAATGACCTCTAAGTAGGAGTTGGTTATGTTTTTAGTCTATTAGCTGTAATATTTATACGTGTTTTGTAGACAGCCAACATTAAAAAGCAAGAAAAAGCTGCATTTTTCTCATGTTTCTGATTTACACAGAACGATGAGATGCAGTAATCTAATTCATGTCTATGGTGTCATGTTTGTAAGTAATAGAATACATCAGATGCTCTGATGTGTATGTGTGGATATCCTACGCATCCTATCCTATCCTACAGCTGGTGAAACAGCTTCAGCTTGTTGAGGAGCTGTTCATTTTGTAGAAGATGGTGAGTCTTGCACCTGGTGCTGAACAGGAGATCAGAGTCCATTAAGCCCATTTCTGCAGACTGAAAGAAACTTCTCTCTTTACATGGTAGGAAAATTCATCCCAGAGATTAAGATTTTGTACGGATATATTTATCTTTGATTGTTCTGTCCCCATGTGGAGATAGTGCCCATCAGCTATTTGCAGTAAAACTGATTCTATGGTTATTTGCATTTGATATTCTGAAGTCTATTTGACAAAGACTAAAAAAATTCATGTATATTTTATCAAATATTGTACACTTGTAATTAAAAAAATATAGAGTTTTTCATTACTGAAATTGCCCTTTAAAAAAAGCAGAGCGCATTTTTCTCATGTGCACCTATTTAAAAGACTGTACTGATGTATGTGTTAGAATTGTTTTTGTACTTCTGGGAAGATTTGAAGTGGTAGGACAGAGACAACATTGCTCAAGTAATTTGGAGCTAGTAGTGAGCTGAGCATGTAGCACATAGAACACATTATTTTGGTTCTAATAACCCTAAGTATTAGGGACATGCATTAGCAATAAGATCAAGTGGGTAGGAAGGATGCTGAGGACTTATCTCGGCATCCATTAGGAGCAATTTGGAGTGGCAAAATTCTTGAATACTGACTGACTCAGCTTGCAGGAAGTAGACAATACAAAATGGCAGAATTTCACAAGTGATTGCATCAAAAAACCATTCTCCCTTAGTTGGTGACAGATACAGCATTAACTTCTTCAAGTATTTTCTCTGAGTGAGATCTATTTATCTCAGGCTTTTCTTCAAATCTAAGAAAGCATTGTTTTGTCCACTCTTCCTGCCTCCTCCAAATTTTTAATCTCCTCATTCTTCTTGAGTCATGGATTAATCTCTTCCTTAAAATGTTTTACATTAGCTGTTCCTTCATCCATGTGGATAAGTGGGAATTACTGCATTATTTCTGTAGACCAAAGCATCTGGTTCCTGTTCAAAATATTCATTGTTTTATAATGGATAATGCCCTAATGTAAGGTGTATGTGTGTGTTTTTTCTTCTCTCTTAGAAGAGGATTGTGGGAGGGAGATGGTTTCCACTTCCTTGGTACTTTCTTACTTTGTCCTGTACAATGCTATTTGGAGGATTCTTCTCAGGCAAAACATTGAGAAAGATGTGTATAGCATTTTGAGCTACTAGGAAAACAAAATTACTTAATGTAGAAGGTTCTTTTTTTAACTGTTGGACTTCATGATTTTGAAGGTCTTTTCCAACCTGAGCAATTCTGTGATTCTATGATCTAATACTTGTATTACTTGGACAACAGTAATTTTTCTGTAAATACAATATTATAAGATTTCAAAATCATGTGACAGCGCACTTGCTTTAACTTATAAGCTCTCTTTCTCATGATAGCCTGAAGAATTAATCTTGCACTGAGAAGAAATTTGTTTAGTTAATGCAACATGGCTTAAAAACGAGGCTAAGTAATAGCTGTACTGACTCAGCAAATCGTTCAGCCCAGATGCCTCTGACCTGCATAGTAGTCCAAGAGGTTTCTTAATGTACAGAACCCTGTATTTTTTATGCAGTGAAATCATTGAATGGCTTGGGTTAGAAAGGTCATCTAATTCCAATGCCCTGCTGCAGGCAGGATTGCCATCCACTAGATCAGCCACTAGATTGGGAAGCCCAGTGCCTAATGTACTTACTGGCTCTGGTTATTTGCTGGAGTTGTGCGGTATCCTGAGGAAAAAAGTCTTTTGAATTTTTTCTAATGCGTTAACTCCACAAATTAGTAGAGAATACCATCCATGTTGGGCTGAAGAGGCCTGAGTTTTCTGAGGTTTACTAAACAACTTTTTTCTTTCTAGATTGTGACCTATGGAGAAGAATACATAAGGGGATAAATATGGCTTTTAAGGGTGAGGACCACTTAGATTCCCTTCCTTTACCTGTTCAGCGGTAAGTGGTACTCTTCTCATGCAGACTTAAGTGACTAAATGCACCCAAAGCTACTTTGTTATTTAGGATCCAAAGGTGAATAAAAAAGTCATTTTTAAACACCTTTCTTGAATTTGCTTACATTCTCAGTGGTAAATCATGACAGTAAATGCGTAGTGACTGTTTTAAATGGGTGAGCTGGCTTGTGGTACAGCAATGATAGTTTAATGGATTGGTTGTCATGATGGAAATCTCTAGCACTCCCTCTACTCTGAAGACTATTGGAAATTATAAATATAAATTTACTGAACCTCATTCACTGCCTCTACTTGTAGCTGTGGTACTAATATTAAAGTTTCAGTAGAATCTTGCCTGTCCCCACGGGGAGCTGGAAGTACTGGTTGCTCTATTAATCAGTTGAGGTTTTAGAATCTGGCTCCAGATTGGCAGCTAGTATCTGTAGCGTAGTTTCACATCTGTGATAATGGAGGCTTCATGGAAAGGGAAAAATGGATAATGAATACAATCATTCTATGTTTTCATTGAGCTACGGTCTTGATATGTAGCATAATTGATTTTATGGGCTGCTGAATGCAGGGGTAAAATCAGAAGCAGGAAGGATTTAAATTTCATTATTTTTCTTAGTTGTCGTTAGGCAAAATCTTCTTTCCTGCAGTCAACTGGCTGCTGACATGCATTCTCAGAATATGGGGCTTTTCTTCTCAACGAGTTTTGGTATTTCTCAGTTTTTCACTATCTGAATCTTTTAGCAGATATTTTGATAACACCACTGGGCTTTCAGTTGCAGAAAGACAATTTGGGCACACTGTCTTCTGTAAGGAATGTTAGGTGGAGGAAAGTAGTTTGGGGATCCCAGATGCGAAGTAAATGAGGACCATATATTGGATTCTGTGTATTGGAAACCAGCAAGTCCTAGAAATCCTAGGTAACCAGGTGTGAACTGGACTGGAATAAACAGGGATGAGGTATACTGTCACTCATTAGTTTTAATTTTTATTCCATGGGATGAAGCTGTGGAATATTGCATCAGTGGTGCACAGCAGTGCCATCAGATTAATGACTTGCACTTGAAAATGCTCTGATCAGATAAGGTGCTAGATATCTGCATTAATTTCTTAGTAATAACTAATTACTTCTGGAAACTGAATTGTAGTTTAATAGTAGACCAACTACTGTGCAAAAACTTCCATTGCAAAATGGGTCAGTGAAGCCTCTTGCAGAAAAATAGATACAAGTGGGACCAAAGGCAGTAAGACCCATGGATGGCAAGGGCTGATCCAAGTTGATGGTGGCAAACTTTTCTTGCAAGCAAATGAGGATGTCAGCTGCAGACTGCCCATGTTAGTGATTGGAAATGTGGAGAAATAACAATGCATACGATGCTCACATGCAACAGCACAGAACTGAAAAGTTCTGAAAGTTCTGAATCTGTAGGCTAGAAACTGCTAAAAAGGGAACCTGCCTGCAAGTCAGTTCTGCTGTGTGCAGGGAGGCAGGAGGACTCCACTACACTATGTTTAAGAAAATATGCACCTTGCATTGACTCTTCACTGTATCTTATTGCAAGTTATGTGAGAAAAGTTTTGTACAGTGGCAAGTGCTATGCTCTGGGGAAGTGCGTGGCCCAGCAGGACAACTGTATGTAATGAGATCATAAAATAAGTAAATACTCTTTCTTGCCCCCAGCTGTTTCAGTATAGCTTCTGAAAATAGACTCTTTACAAATGTCTTTCCTGTTGGAATTGCTTTTCTCATATTTCTGGTGAGTTTTCCAGGTGGGAAAGCTAATGTAAAAGAAATGGTCTTTCTCTTAGGTCCCTGTCCTCCATTTCTTTGTAATAAAAGTTCATCAGCATTTTCGTTTGCTTTCAATTAAAACAATGTACCCATTTTTTTTCATGGTAGTCATGGTTTCTTGCACTTTCCATATTGCATAGTAAACAAAAATTAGCAGTTAGAGTACTCAGTCAGAAGCCATTCAGCTAAACAAAGATGCTCATAATAAAGAGCGAAATAGGATGCTGCTTTTGTTTTCCTGGATTATATGTTCAGCTCACTCTCATAACTGAGAGAAATTCAGTACAATTAGTACTTAAACTACAAAAACAACAAAACCCATAAATACACCACTTCTTAAACACAGCAGGATTCTCCATGGAAATTAGGAATGTAAAAGTGAAGCAAAGATAATCAGCAATTATCTTGCTGAAAAATGTTGAAATTTGCACTATGAATCTGGGAGGCACTCTTGAAAGTGAAGTGATAGCAGTGGTAGAGCTAGTCTTTCTTCCTGAGCCTCAGAAATGTAATACTGCTAAACTGTTCAATACATACTCTGAACATCCTTACAGTTTTAAAAATGAAAGATAATCCTCTGGGTTATAACTTCAGCTTGCATAGGAGCAAAGGCAATGTTAAATATTTAAAAGCTTGTTTTTTTTTTTTTTTTTCTTTTAAAGTGAATGCTCTGAGGACCAAAAAGATGAGCCTTACTAGGTGATAAATTTAGAAATTTTTTAATACTATTATTTTTTCTTACAGAATTTTATGCCACTGATATATATGAGAGCGTTTTTTTCTTAATCACTGTGCTTCAGATGAAGGTGAGGCAGAGAAATCAGACAAGTCTTTGAACTCTAGGTACATGTAGTTAAGATCTCTGAAAATCACTTCCTTGTCTTGATCCACCTGAAATCAGAATGGTTTGCCATAAAGGGCTTCTAATTTTGGCTCTGCCACAGAATCCAGGTTTCCTGTCTCCCAGTTCTTAACCAAAAGTCAGTTCTTCCTCCTTTTGTTACGTTCTTCCTTTTTCTGTTCTCTAAGGACCTGAGATCTATGAAAGAACAATATGAATGAGGTCACTCCATGCATATTTATAGCCTTGCTCTGCTCTTTAAACTGTGCCATGTATCTGCAGGTGTCCTGATAACTTCTCTAAAGTATCTACTTAGGTGTCCCGTTACATAAATTAAGACTTTCGTGCTCCTTTTATGCCCTCACCTATTAAGCAATTGCTAAGGTGGCAATCAATTCTGGAGAGGTCTGGATTTCTTTCAGTATGCATTCTGGTGGTAGTGGTGGTTGTTTTTTTTTTTTACCCTAAATATTTTTTTTTCCTTTAACTTTAATTTCTCGCAATGTTATTTTCTATTTCTGTATGGTAGGTAATGGCAGCTGGAGAATTGCTCACTGCATGTGTCCCATCCCTAGAGGCATTCAAGGCCAGGCTGGATGTGGCTCTGGGCAGCCTGGTCTGGTGGTTGGTAACCCTGCACATAGCAGGGGGGGTTGAAACTACAGATGATCATTGTGGTCCTTTTCAATGCACCCCCTTTCTGTGACTCTATGAATACCATCTTGTTACAGGCTTCAGGATATTCTAGATTAATTCTTCACAGGCTTGCAGTAACCAAGTGGAAAAGAAACACTTCTGAGGCTATCTTCAAAATTCTAGGACCAAAGCATACCATCTATGAAGTGGTGGGAACCATGTCTTTCACGACTCTAAGTACTCTGCTGCTTGCCCAGTAAGCAAAGAGGTGTTGATCGAAATGATGCTAAAAAATTCTGGGAACTGGAAGAAAAAAAAATTGGACTGAATTGCTAATTTAACAGAATATTTGTCAAAAGTTGAAAATTGAAACTTGCAGCAAGAGAGGTGTGTGGCTTTTTTTCTTTGTTTGTTTTACTCCAGAAACTGCAGTGATTCCACTTGGTTTTTCTCCTCAATCAAGATAAAAAACATGCAGGCTTTCATAGAATATAGAGGCATATTATGATGAAAAATATGGAAATTTATAGTGGATTTTTTTAATGGAAGGTACAACTTCAAATGAAAAAAAAAAAAAAAAGCACTTGGCAAAAAATTTCTAGTAAGAAAGAATTTCTACTATAGTAAGGAAGATAGTGTAATGATCTTTATAAAGCCAGATGCATTTTTACCTGCTCAGGGACTATATTTAAAGATCTATGTATTGGATTTTGCTTCTCGAACTTCATGTTACTTCTATACAACTGAAAAGAGTTGTTTTGATAACACTGCATTTGAGGTGCAAGACGCAATGATGAGTCTTTCAGCACGTGTCTAATATTGCATTCATATGTTGTGTTTTTAATAAATACAACCTCAAACATGACTTTGAGGAGCAGATTATATCAGCTTGTTAGACTTCTACCCTAAGTATCTAGAATTACCCCAGTACTGTGTGATTTAGTTCTTGGAGTTGAAGGCAGGGAAATAGTTCTATCTGGTCATATAAACAAATAATAATAATAATAATAATAGAACAGTTGGGCAAAATTGCACAGGTGTATTCCTTCTCATTCAGTTACCAAGGACCTCTTTCCACTTGTATTCTCTATGCAATGAGGATCTGTTTACTTTGTTGTGATCTGTTGATGTGACTTTAAGCTCTAGATGTCTTTTCTAGTGAATTTGGGACAGCAACTAGATTTGGTTGCATGGCAGTTTATTGAAATATTTCCTGTTTCATCTTTCTTCTTTCTTAAACATGAAACACCGGAGTGAGTGAGTCCTAGGGATGGGATTTCTGTGAATTAGCCTGTGTAAAACTATTCCTTTTTTACCTCCCTCATTCTAGTCTATTTTTCTAGCGCTACCAATTCTTATTAGCTGTTACATGACGCCTTTCTACTTGCTCTGTATCTGCATGCCTTCTATACTTTGTAGCCATTTCTATCATCAGTGCTGATCCTCATGAAACTTATCTGTCCATTTTTAATAGTATGTTGACTCTTCAAGAACCAACAACCCATTTGTAAGCATGCACAACTTGTAAGATTGTGCTCAAGTTCATCATCACAAAATCTTGCTTAACTACGAATGCTTTAAATGCTTTGTCTGATCAGTGATTTACATGTCCTTGTGCTTCTTAGACATCCTCTGTAAGTGCTCAGTTCTTTTTGTTCGATGGCTTCCTGTAGTATCTGCTGCTAATAATAAAGGGCTTGTTCTGCATTTTTGGCTTTTCCCACCT